CTCTCAGGTGGTGATAAAAGACTTTCACTTCCTGGCAGGGAATAAGAGAGGGTTTTGGTTGCATCCTCACTAAAATCAGCTTTAGAGAAATGGTTTGGCACAAACACTTGTGGGCCTGAGCTCTCCTTTGCTCTGCACCAGGGGTGTGTCACGCACAGAATTCTTATTGGTCTCTCTGTATGGAAGCAGAAAGGGTTTTCTGAAGCCTGTAGTGAGGGGCTATGACCTATGTACAAGGATGCATCCTGGGCCCTCTAGGGCACACAAAGTGATCAAGGACAGTCTCCTGGACCTCAAGAAGGTCATGACCTAGGTGGGAAGACAACATAGGTAGGGGCAAAAGACAATCCAAATAGGGTAAGTATCAAAGGTGTGTTATAAGGGCCAGGCCCTGAAACACTGGCCCTGAAAAGGGGGTTTGTGTGCCAGAAGTCCACTGCAGATGCCCTTGGTATCCACATCCATGGCAGAGTGAAGGAGGTGGGCTTGGGAAAGGAAACAGTTGATCCGCAGTGCAGTCACAAGACAGGCCTCAGCCAATCCCACAGGATATTCCAGAGCGAGAAGAGCCCTTCAGAGCTGTCACCCCTGGTAACACGGCGGCCTGGCCTTCATAACTCCCCGCCCCCACCAGTTATTGAATGCAGGCTGTTCCCAAAAAGGGGTCTGACCTTCGGCCAGGTGGCTCCCTTTGGCCGGGAGCCATCAGCTCACAACAGTCCCAGCAGCAGAGGAAGTGAGTGCCTCTGTCCTGAAGGGGGACTCTAGGCAGCACATGATAACATCTGCTAATATCAATGCTCAGGGATCTACTGTGGGGGAATAGCAGTGACCTTGACAGTGAATGTTTACAGCAGGAGGGGAAAAGAGGCCCCCTGCTAAGGGACTAAGAGCTAAGGGACTAAGGGTTTGAAGCATATTATTTTCATCAGGCTCTGTTTGCTATTCATTTCACTCTGACCTAAGACCATCTCAAATCCCGAGAGTTACAAATACTACTATCGCATAAACTTTCCCCCATAAAACCTAGTAAAGAATAACTGAAAAATTCAACCAACTCTTTTCAAAGCAGAAAGGTCAAATGCATTTCAAGTTTCGATTAATTCTGTATATTTTACAATCTTGGTTAGGATCCTACCGTTTTCTAATTCATTGTCTAAATGATTGTGAATTTAGAGGTTCTCTCTTTGGAATGTTGTTTCTTTATGATTTGCCCCCTTGATCTGTCACATTTACCCCAGCCTCTATTCCTACTGAAATTAGCTTTTTTCAGGTCTTTGTTCAATCATCTCCTCAGTGAGGCCTTATGACATCTTAGTTCCAATTGCCACCTCAACCCCACCCTATCCACTTTATTTCTTCCCATAGAACTTGACACCATCTGGCTTATTCTATTTATTAATGGTACTTATTGTCTGTTTCCCTCTAATAGGATGTAAATCCCATGAGGGCAGCGATTGTGTTCTCACTCTGTATTCTTATTTTGTAGAATAGTGCCTGGAACATAGTAGCCATGCAATAAATATTTGTAAATGAAAGAATGGATGAGTGAGTGAATGAATGAATGAATGAATAGCCCCAGTTTAGGCTTCCATCAGCTCCTGCCTGGGTGATTCCAACAGCCTCCCAGCTGGAGTCAACTTCAGATGACACATCTCTGAGGTGTCCCCTTTCTAGATTATTGTACACATCACTGCTAGACTGACTTTCTCTGGCAGATGTCCTACTCAGAAGCTCTTCAGAGCCAACTCAGGCTTTTTCGGTGCTCTCAGAGACCCGGCCCATCCCTCCTGATCCTAGACAGGCTCTCTTCTCTGTGAGCACCATTCCTGCCTCTCCCTTTCTCCCCTCTCTCCTCTGAATTCCCTCAGCAAGGACAAGTTAAATGTCCTCCACGATGCTCTGAAGGCCGAGTGTGAGAGTAAATGTTAAAGCACTTCCTGAAGCCTAACATCTTTGCAGGTGACCATTATTGCTATTTCATCATCATGATATGATTGTACCATAAACTTTTCAATTAAATTATATGTGTCTCGAAGGTAGGAGTAAAGAATTTAGCCAAATTCACCAATAATGACACTGAGCTAGTCACCCAGATTGCAGTGGTGTGTTGGAGCCAGCTAGCTCCAGCTAACAAAAACCGGAGGTTAAATGTTCTGCCACCTATCTGACTCCCATACTTATTTCTGCTTTTTGCAATTTAGAGGGGACTGAGATGTTCCTGGTTACCTCAGAAACATCATCCAGTGGAAACGAAAAGGATCAGAGAGAGAGAGTTGAAAGGGCAGTGTTGGGAGTGAGGAGGAATGGTTCTGTTTTAGGCGTTTTGAGTAAGATTCCTAAGTGGAACCTAAATGGGTCTGGCCCTTGAGAGCAATGGGCTGGCAATAAAAATTTAAAAATCACCTGGGAACTGGTAGTACTGGAGGACTTCCCCCCAGGCATCCAGGAGCCATCGCGAGCCCAGGCACATCACTCTCCCCGGCTCCAACCGATGGCCAACAGTGCAGCCATCAGGGCCTGTCGCTGTCACTTCAGGCTCTGTTCAGATTCTCTTCAGCTGTCCTAGTTCAGTCTTTGATAATGGCATGCTTAGATTGTTACACTTTTCTCCTATTTCTTCTCCTCTCACTCTCTTTTCTCTGATTTATCTCATTTGTTATTGCCTGATTAATTTTCCTAAGGTACCATTTTATCACATCCTGCCTTTGCTCAAACACCTTCAATAGCTCCCAATTCCTTGCAAATAAAATCCCAACTCTCCTATTCAAGCTCTTCCTTGAGGCAAATACCTACCTGTACTTTCTTACCTGCAAGGCTAATATCTCACCTACCATTTTGTGCACAGTTGTTATTTAATAAATACTTTTGAGTAAAGACGAAAGTCACAAATAAGCTGCTGCTTCCCTGAGTTCACTCGTTCTTGCCATCATCTCTCACCTTGTGGATGAAGGTGAAACCCCAAGTTATTACTACAACACAAAATTTTCTTGTGTTTCTTAGCATCGAGGATCAATAGCTACAGAATGCTTCTCAATGGCAAGAAGTAAATTTTCCAAGATTTTAGTCATTCGAGAAACTACCAGTTTTCCCAAGGAGGCAGTTCTAAGCACCAGAAGACACTCATTGCCAAGAACAAACACAGCTGTTCAGGCAGCAGAGGAAGCTGGTGTTTGGTTAAAAAAAAAAAACAACCCCAAAAAAACAAAAAAGTACTCTGCCTGCACGTTCAAGGATGGCAAAGTTCCCAGATCCACAGCTTGAAATGAATAGATGATACAAGATATTTTATATATATATATATAAAAAAAAAAAAACTGCCGGAAGCAGAAGTTTTCTCTCTCAAACGAACTTCTCATGCACATAAACAGAACAAGACTCCTAGGGAGAAGAATAATGTTTGGGGAGGTGGGGAGAGAGGCTCACTTCTCCACTGAACCAGAGGAAACCTGTACCCCTCTCCCTTCATTTTCGCCCATACGCTTGCACTCAACGAAAGTCTCTAAGAACCATCGTGTGGGTACCAATTATTACCCCAAATGGGAAAACAGATCGATATTAAACTCAGAAGAGCAGCAGTAGCACAGGAGAGTTAGAGCAGCAGCCAGTACCAGGTGTGCTCTCGGTTCCCTCACAGCCATCACCACCTACTCAACCCAAGAGCTCCGGTCTTGTCTAACAGCACGTAGGAATGGCAGAGTGCGGGAGCGGGTAAAATAGGGGCCAGAAACACAGAGTGGGCCAGGCAGGTATGTTCATGTTATATGTGTCATCACTTACAGTGCAATGAATTTGGCCATCATTACCATTTTACAACTTGGAAGCTGAGAATCCCAGGTGAAGTTACTTGCCCAAGATCGTACACTTGGTGGGTGACGAGTTTACCAGACCCACCTAATTCCAGATTCCCAGGCTTAGTGCATATGTAGCCATGAATGTTTATTGTGTTCAACAAGATGCTCTAAGTGTTCTAGAAAACAAACAAACAACAATGCAAGCAGGTTAGGAATACACCGGGCTAAACAAAATTAAACAAGTTTCCTTAGTGTTCAAACACAAATTGTGCCAAGTTCGTCTGGCTTCCCTAAACTTAATTTACTTTTGTTGTGCCTGGGACACCTCGTGAGACTGGCGTTCCCTAGAGCCCGTGTGGGAATCATTGCAGAACACCCCTCTGACCTCACCGAGATCCTGAGTGGGCGCGACGCCATTTTTGGACGAGTCTAGGGAAAGCAAAAGGTCAGTGGGAAGTATTCTCACAGAAACCTCTCAAGTGTGTGGGGACACGGGTAGGGGCAGGGGAGGGAAGAAGGACAAGAAGACTGTGCTATTATAATAACAAGGAACACTTCTGAGCAGTTGTTGCAGGCCAGTACTCTTCGAAGTGCTTGTAACCCCCATTGCACACATGACAGAATGACAGAGTAGAGTGGTGATTTACCCAAGGTGACACAGCTCATAAATGTCTGGGTGTCAAATTCAGATAGTCTGGCTCCTTGCTATCTGAATTCGACACCCAGACATTTATGTACATCTTTGTTACACTTTCTCGTATTGAAGAGATATTTAGTTGGGAATTTGTTGGGAGGGGGGAAGGCCATCATGGCAGAAGATTCATATCATGGTTATCCAAACTGCATAAAAGTTTAGTAACAGTAATAATAACATCAACTTAAATGTGACTTCTAGTTTATTCTATATTTACTTGTGCCTACGGTATAAGCTACTGTATTAGGTGCTGGGGATTAAGATGTGAATACAACCTACAGAATTCTCTCCCCAAGAGGATGTACAATTTCATGCAAGGTACACACAGAGATTAGCAAAAGTTAATTTACTGTTTCTATTATAATATCCATATGGACAAATGAGCTGAACAATGATAGAATTTCCCCATCATTCTTCAGTAGAAAGCTGTCTCCAGGGCAGGGCCCAGGAAGCCTTGCCCTGGATTCAGAGTCTGCTGGTGAGATGACATCAGAGCTCTTCATGAAAAAGGGGCAGACTCTCCCTCACTTCTGGAGATACCACTTGATGGCACAGCCAGAAACAGCAGCAGCCTCTTTCTACGGATCTACTGCAAATGGCCTACTCGGGCCCTCGGAAGAAAAAACCCAGGCAGATGGGTGCCTCCATGGCCTCCTCTCCTCATGATGTCAAGTTCCAAGACTTGGTCCTCTTCATTTTAGAGAAGAAAATGGGAACCACCCGCAGAGCCTTCCTCATGGAGTTGGCCCGAAGGAAAGGATTCAGGGTTGAGAACGAGCTCAGGTAGGACACCACTGATTTCATTTGCATCAATTTTGCGAACAGCTTCTTTGAAACCCAAGGAACCTGTGTTTTCTTCCACATAGGGAAAAAGTGATGTTCCCACTGGGAGAACAGGTTTGAAACCAAAGAACAAATTTGAGCCAATTAGTTATGGGAAATAAAATGAATAGGGGCTGAAAAATTATACTGAAACTAGTTGGCTCCAAAAGTCAACAACCTGTCAAAAGTCAACCACAGGTTATGATCATTTTCATAAGACCCACATTCATATGAAAAGGCAATGTCACAGAAATACTTAATTTTTTTTTTCTTTTTACTAAAATGCCCCATTCAGAAATTCCTGAGTCTCTCGTGGCCTCTTTCCCATCTGATTTCTTTTTATATGGTCACCTTTGCCTTCTCTCTGCCTCTTTTCTTCTTTCTAACTCCTTATCTCATTCCGAATGCTATTTCATTCTTTCCATGAAATCTTAGATTTCATCTAATTGTTAAGTCTGCGTAATTTTACAGACTTACGTCAAGTGTTGGCATTGGCGGGGAATGGGGAGATGATGGAGGCAAAGAGGCCAAAAATCAGAAATTAAAAAAAAGAAATTCAAAAAACAGAAATTAAAAGCCTTAGCAAATACAGAACTGCTTTTTGTGATACAGAAGTTTGGCAAGAGCCAGGCAGGAAGGCGAGAGCCAGATGGTCAAGGTACCACTTACACAGAAAGCTCTCTTGAATTGTTCATAATTCCAGCAAGGGCTGACTCGTTTCATTATAGGTGCAGCTACAGATACATACATGGTGGCTGAGGCAGGAACTTGGGGAGATAGTGAGAGGCAAGTTTCTTCTTTTGGCAAGAGAGCCCAAGAGGCAGTTCTGTGCCCCAGATGCCTGCTGCCAGGAACCAAACCCAGCTGCTCAAGCAACAGAGGAAACTGGTACGTGGTGAGCAAACTGCTGCTGTGCATGTGATGGTGGCAAAGTTCCCAGGCTAGCAGCTCGGTAGACACAGTAAATACAAATGTGTTCTACGGCACAAAAATAAATCACAGGAAACAGAAGTCCCAGCTCTCAAACAGAATTTCTGTAGATAGATATATAGGCTTTAATTGGAAAGAACAATAGAAATCATTGTAGAGGGAATCTCTAGATAAGAAATCTAGAGACTTTAAATTTGTGGGGCCAGACCCCACTTCTCCTCTCTAAACTTAGTGTCCAGGTAAATAGTCTAGTCTGCCTGATGTAATCATCAAATGTGATGATGGATTTCAATGTACTCTGATGAATTAAAACAGTTATTAAAGTGCAAAGTGTGATTGGTTTCTTGTCATTTAGCTGGATCCACTGACCTTTACAGCAGAACCCTAAGGAGAGGATTCTCTCTCCACAGCATGAACTAGGTCAAATGATACAAATGAATAGAACAAAGACAGGAAGGAAACTCATCAGAATGTTATAAGTGGTTAGTTTGGGGAGGAACAGGGTAGTAGGGATGGATTATGACAACTTTTATTCTCTGTGTTTTCCAATTTTTTACAATAAGCATATATTTTTTAAATGGAAATAAAGAAAGCTGATTTTTGAAAGGAAGGATATGTCTCAATAGTGAAGTGTAGCTATACCTCTTCTTTCCAGTATATAAGATTCAGAGAAAGAGGAGCTAAGAAAAAAAGTTCTGAAAATAGGCAACAATCTCCATAGTTCCTAGCATGTTCTTTGGCCGCCAGAAGGATTAAATTTGAAGAAAAATCAGATTCTTACTTTACCTGGGCCTGAACACACGGCTTAGAAGTGGCATACCTGAATGCATTGAACTGTTTGGAGCTATTTCATTCTCTAGAATATGTGCACTGTATCCTTACATGTGTATTGGGCTTCATTAATATTTATGTTATGTGGCAAAAGACATGTTATTCAACATGCCATCGGAAGCTGGTTCTTAAACTATAAATCGGGGGAGGGGGTGTTAAGTCATTTGAGACATTTTTGCACATTCAGGAAAGGGATACTGAATTTTATTCCATGACCAACATCCTAAATTTTAGAGCAACTTTATCACCTTTGAGTTATCCAAGACAAGCTAGAGAAGGATTAGAATCTAGTGCTTGTCACTTTCTTATTTCATCCTTGGTTCCAGTACATTGGGCTATTTTAAACTTTATCTGTCATAAACCCTCCTCTTTGAACACATCAGCTAAGCCTACTAACTATGTCTTGACCTAAATCACTGATGTTGAAGAAAAAAGAGCTGTGGCTGGGAAGGGTGGCTCTCCAGGGTTATGTCACCTAGCAGTGTAACACTTGCTGAGTTCTATCGTTCAGGCAGTAGAAACCCACCAGATGACACTTTTGTCCTGCCTAGACCTCTGTAATTTGTCTACAAGAGTACCTTTGGAAGGCGTTGTCTTTGATGAAAACAAGGTATACCACTGTGGCATCACCAATAGGGGTTCTGTTAGTACCCATTCTGCACAGTATTTGTCTGGTTCTGGAGATACAAAATGGTAGAAGACATGAGCCTTGCAGGCAAGGACTTTACAAGTGGACAGAGGAGTCAGAAATTGTACCTTTGTTGTCCCCTAGAATTAAAACAGATCATAATGTATTTTCCAAGTATGTACCTTTACTTTCCACCTTTTTATATTATGTTAGATTAGTTATATATAGCTGGCCTGTCTATACTTTCCATTCATTCTCTGTGTAATATTTGAAATGTGGCTTTTGCCTCACTCATTATCCCAAAACTATTGTCCCCAACATCCCAAGGAATCTCATGGTAGTAAAATCCTTGATTTTTTCACTTGAATGTGGTTAAAAACTCTCTCCTTGACCAAACTATAGCATGGCATCTAGCAGCTTAGGCTATGCTCCTAGGATGACCCTCCCCCTTAAAATGCCTGCCTGAGAAAGCTCAAGACTGCCAGGAGAATGTACTGTTTGTTCCAGCCAAAACCTGGCAATAGGCAGATGGTCCCTTGAACCCCCCTTAGAGCTGATACTTTAGAAACTTTGCAATTATAAATCCTTTCTCTGCCCCTTTGAGATGTAAGTCTTCCAACTACCTAGAACTTTCTTCTCAGGAACCAGAGAGTTGTCTCTTTGAAAGGCAAATGTCTAAGGAGAGAACTCTCGAGAGCGTTTTCTTTGGGAAGGTAAAGGCCTAATTTTAGTGGGCACCTTGCTCTAACTTGCACCACTGCTTCTTGTCATAAAGATTCAAGAAATTTGTTTCTCCTCTGAATAAGCACCAATTAGCAAATCCTGGTGGCCAGCCCCGCTTAATGTCTCTCGGGGCCTTTCCCTTAGCACACACAGCCTTTGAAAGGTCTCCTGCATTCTGCTTCTTCACAGTTGAGCTCTAATCATGCTGGACCCCCCTATCCTATTGCGATATTTATTGCTAAATAAAATCTATCCTTACTGCTTTAACTGGTGTCAGCTTTGTTTCTCTTCGACAATGTTTTATCACTTCAAATTTGTGGTGTCTGAAATCAAAATATTAAGAGTCATTGTTTGCAAAAGAAACTGAACACCAGATGAAAAAGAAGTTACCTGCTCTAGAAAATATATTGTTGAACTAGCACACCTTTAGGCCCCTTCCAGGTCCAATGTCCAAACACACCTTCACTGGTTTCTCTTT